ATCTTGCTAGCCATGCTGGTGCAAAGCTTCCAAGAGCCTTGTCCGGAGCGCCTCTGCCGCAGTCATGGCGGATCAAAGACAAAGGGTTTCTTTCAGAAGGAAGCGCTGTCTTAGCCGGAGGGCTCTGGCCCTTGGGAACATGAAACGAGTAAACATGAAAATGCGCTCCACATTATGAACCTAGGTATGAAGGATACATGGTTGGGTCCCCAGGGTCGCGTAATTATCTTCGGGAACGACGGTGCCAAGGACCTTCATTCATGTCACAAAGTGGTGCAAGGGCCAAGGGTCAGCGAATTCTGGTTGATCAATATTCCTCTCCCTCAAATGACCATGGGTAATTGTTTCGCATTTAGTGGGAAATATTGTCTTTCTAGTGGTTTTCCCCGATGGTCATCCCATGTAAAGGACCGTTTGATCGAACCCCATATCCAATGTGCAAACGCGTCTTTTTAGACGCAAATCATCGCAGCTTCTACGACCAGCCATATCTGAGTCTCAAAGCAGATGGCAAACTTGTTCCATGCTGGCAAGACGTCTATTAAGAATCCTACCAATTGCAACTGTCAGATTGCAGAGTTGTGAGCCAAACATGTGCTAGTCTAACGAAAAATTATGCACAACAACAATCCTGTGTGCATAATATCCAAAAGAGCCAACATCTTGAGCAGTAAGCAATAGCCTTCTTGATGGCCTTGCTTGGCTTTTAACGTTCAAGAAAATATATGTTTTCCACCAGGAACTTCTCTCTCTCTCTCTCTCTCTCTCTCTCTTTCTGGGGGAGAAACGGACCTTCGTCCTTTACGCTTTCGCGTCTGGGCCGCCCGGCGCTGGCGCCCGGCGCCTGGTTCCCCAGCACGAGGCCCACCTTCGCCACCGCGCAGCCCATGCGCTGCAGCGCGGCCGCGTAGCAGGCCAGCTGCGCCAGGTGATGACCTGTATCCCCGTCGGATCGTCGGGCGCGTGGGACAATGAAGACAAGTCTCAACGACATGGACATGACGACACCAAAAAGCAACCGAGCCAGTTGGTGCTGAGATGCCATGACCTCCTGCTCCAGGCCTGTCTGACCTGTCTGAGACTAGCCTCACGGCCCAACCCAAACAGCAACCAAGGCCCAGCACAGCCCGCCCAGCTCACGCCCCAGCAGGCCCACCAACCAGCAGCCCCGGCTGCAGCCCAGCTCGCCGCTGTCCTGTGCCGCTTATGGGGCCCTTGCTACCGGGATCCCATGACTCAATTGTTCGCAATGAGGCCAAACCTGTGTCCATGCCTGAATTGCCGCTTGACCAGCTCTGCGCTTGCAGTCGAACCACAGCGGCCGGCTTGGCCAAGGGCGGGCAACGCGCAGGCATTTACAATTAATCTTGTTCGGCTTTTTGTCTAAGGAAAAGGCAAATGCGGGAGAACCTGGCTTTGCCCGTAAATTTGCGGCAGCTAATAGTGACTCACCTCCGATGGACAAGGGGGCTGTTTTGATGAGTAGGACCTCCTCCCCTTTCTCTTAAGAACAATTCTGCAGCTCCTCCACACGAACAATAGCAAATCAGATCGCATATGCTTGTGCTTCTTTCAAATTGGAGAAGTTATATTTCTGCGCCAGCCCGCGTAGTTTGAATTACGAAGTCGAAGAAAAGCGCCCTCTTATCCTGATAACAACAACACGTGCGCTCGCCCACACATAGGCACACAACACACACACCAGCTCAGCCAGTCAGTCCACCAGCCAGCCAAAAAGTCCGCCCAGCCACACAAGCCCCACACACGCACACTGCACCCTGCGCCGCTGCGCGGAGACGCAGCACCTGGAGCAGCTGAAGACGCGCCAATACGCACGCACGCACAAAACGCACAACGCGCAGCCGCGCCAGCCGCACCCACCAGGCGCACATCGAAGCGGCCCACGACGCGCGCACACCACATCGCGTCAAACAAGGCGCACCCCCTAACCTAAGCGGCGCAACACATACCCACAAACGCACACCGCAAACACGCACACACACACACACCTACAGACACAGACCAGTCACAGACCCAGACAGCAGACACAGACACGGACAGGGACACACAACGGAACAAAACGGACCACAAATACTACACCCACACGGACCGGGAAAACACGGACACAGACACGGAGACGGACACGGCAACACGGACAACGGACACGGGCGCAGGACAACAGACACAGACACAGACGCAGACACAGACACTGACCCAGACACAGACTTCAGACACAGACACAGACACAGACCCAGAACACAGACACAGACACAGACACAGACACAGACACAGAACACAACACAGACCCGACACAGACACAGACACAGACACAGCACAGGCACACAGGCAAGGCACAGGCATCAGGCCACAGGCACAGGCAACAAGGTCATGAGCAGGCACAGGCACAGGCAGCAGGCCAGGGCACAAGGCACAGGCACAGGCCACAGGATCAGGCTCAGGCACAAGGCTCTTGCACAGCCCAGGCACAGGCACAGCAACAGGCCAGGCGGGCAGCCAGGCGCAAGGCGGCAGGCACAGCAACAGGCACAGGCACAGAGGCACAGTCAACAGGCACCGCGCGCAAAACCTAAACGCGCGCACAGCGCGCACCGCTGCGCACCACGTGGCGCGCACAAGCGCACAACGCACACACGCCACACAACCACACACACAACGCACAACACGCACAAACCAACCACACAACAACACACACGCACACACCACACGCCCACACCCCACCACGCGCGCACAGGCACACGCGCACGACACGCGCGCACGTCGCGCGCACCAACACGCGCACTACACCGCATATTCCACACACGCGCACACACGAACGAACACAACACAAACACACCACACACACACCACACACACACACACAACACACATCACACACACACACACACACACACACACACACACCCACACCCACACACAACAACATCACCCACACGCGCACCACACGCAGCACCCGCAGGCACACGCACACGCCACACGCACACGCGCACTTGCACTACCGCACGTCGAGACGCCAACACGCGCACGGGCGCACCGACGCGCACAGACCGCCACCACGCGCAACATCTAAGCGCACACAGCGCACAACGCGCACAACGCGCACACTCGCACACGCGCACAACGCTCACACCGCACAAACGCGCAGCAAGCAACACTTAACGCGCACAGAAAAAGGGGAACAACGGAGAAAAGCAACGAGACCCACGCACACACCACAACACCCACACCGCCCCGCCACACGCACACACGCACGACAAAACACGCACAAAAACATTAACATTGACCCAACAAAACCAATCGCACACGGCACACGCACTCGCAAACACTGCACACACGCACACGCACACTTGCTAATGCGCACATCGCCATCATGCGCACCGAGCACACCACAAACCGCACACGCACACGGCACACGCACACGCACGACGCACACGCACAACCCACACACACACACACACACACACCACAATCCATGCACGCACACTGCACGCTCACTGCACGCACACTGCAACACGCACACGCACAACGCACACGCACACGCACACGCACACGCACGCACCACGCACACAGCACACGCACACACAAACACACACACACACACAAACACACACAAACACACACAACACACACACACACACACACACACACAACACCCACACACACACACACCCACACGCACGCACGCACGCACGCACGCACGCACGCACGCACGCACGCACGCACGCACGCACGCACGCACGCACGCACGCACGCACGCACGCACGCACCCACCCACACACACACACACACACACACTCACACTCACACACTCACACGCAACGAGGAAAGCACTGCTCTGGTGGATTCGTGAACATCTTGAATAGGCCGTGCTGAACAAGGTGTGCTGGTAGCCTTAGCCACAAAGGCATCTATGACCACACGACCAAGGGGCCTGTGTATGGATGTATTTGCCTGTTGTACATAAAATGTGTGTGGGTGAACGTCTTGAAGAAAGCAGTCTCCGACCTTGTGCATGACCAGCGAGCTTAGTATCCCAGACTACGTACTCCTCCTCTCCAGTCGGGAGCCGGCGCCGCAAAAGGAAGTCGACAATGCCGAAAAGCTTCAGCTCGTTGTCGTAGACAGGAGCTTGATAGATCACGTCCGCCCTGCTCAAAGCCTCGACGGTCTTCTCAGCAGCCTTTTCTCGCCAGTTCGTGCACTTGTTGATATCAGAGAAGAAGCAACCCTTCAAGTCAACCAGCGTCCACTCAGAGTGCTCTGTGCGAATCCACTCCAACAGCTTGGACTCCACTTCTTCGCCTTTTTGCGCAAACATCAGAGATGTCAGGGGCTTCTTCAGTTTGCACAGTGGGTGCCAAGGGCACTCCTTCTCCAGTCGAGCCATCCAGGCAAGGAAGTCAGACTGGATGAAGACTGCAAAGGAGGTCGCAGAGTAAACTTCTGCCGAATCTTGGCTTGGGACTTGCACCTTCGTCTGGGCTTGCTTTCGCCCCATCCTGCTGCGGCCAGGTCTGCTAACCGCAGCAATGCAGAGGTATGTGGGCAGGGCATGCCAGTGATAGCCTGAAGGCGCAGAAAAGGCACGCGGCGTCGGTGCCTCCAATGTGCGCAAGCTGTTGGATACGCATGGCGAAGGATTAGGCACTTGCATCATGCACTTTGGCTGCACCTGTGAAATGGCTGCAGTTTGTGATGACATGGAGTTAGTGCCGTGGAATAAGAAATTCATCTCGCAAGCGAGACAAAAACACTTTGCCTTTGAATCCCATTAGTGCCATACTATGTGTCCGTTCGGGCAAAGCAACCTAAGCTTCAGACTCTGGCTTATGGTTCGTTCCCAAACTTGACAAGCCATCCACGCATCTAAGAGACTCTCTTGTGCACGCACCAGCGTTTCATGAATTCTGAATGATACTCAGCTTAGTTCAAGCTTGCCAATAGGCCGAGTGTCGGCCAGATCCAAAGCGCGGCGGAGGTGCCAGGCCCCCGCGCTCCTCTTGGAGCTCGCTGCGGAGGCCGCGGATCTCCTCTTCCGCGCGCAGCTCCTCCGCCTCCAGCGCCCGCAGCAGCTGCGCGTGCGCCTCTGCGCCGCCGGGGCTGCCGGGGCTGCCGGGGCTCGCGCGGCCTTTGAGGTATCTTTGGACCTCACAGGACGAACCATCCGAAGGCCCTTCGAAGGGGCCCTTCGGATTTTTTCAGGATGTGCATTGCGTGAAGCTTGAGTTGGGGCAATTACACTCTGGGATGTGACAAGCTTTCATCACCCTTAACTTTGAAGCGAAACTCATGAGAACCTACGAGGCCGTTGGCCTTTGCCTGCCTCTTGCAGTCGCAGATCGCACCTCTTGAGAGCGCCAGCCGTCTCAGCCGCCTCACTTTCCATGCTTTCCAGCTCCTCGCCCCATCGCAGCAAAATGTGAATAAAACAATTTGATGCGACTGCAAGCAGCACAGAACTGATATTTGCAACTGGCCTTCATCCTAACTGATGGAAGTCCGGCAAGCCAGCTTCGAAAGCGATTTCCATCACTGTCTTTCTCTGTTCTGGTCCAGTGCTTTGAGAATGTGCATAGGCGCAAAATGCCTGATGTTTCCTAGCCACTTTGTTCTAGCGCAAGGGATTGCCTTAATCCAAAACAACGGTTGAGGCTGAAAAATGAAGCCGAAAAAAGGCTAGCTTTTGAAATGAAGAAGGCCTCAATCCGAATCTACCCACATCTCTCTCTCGACACATATGATGTCGGGGATTAAATTCGGAGTTAAGCCTGCGGGGCGCGTGATGGACTGTGGCACCAGCACTATTCCGTTTAGTCACCTGGCTGCTGCACTTCAAGCGCTAACACTGCCAAGGGTTAGGCTAAAGCTTTCATGTAGAAGGGTAATTCCTGCGTTGTGCGAACATCTCGGCAAGCAAATTCGACCTCGAATTTGCGCTTGGGCAGGCAACCGTCTTGATCAAGTTGGACATGGCAGCCGCTCTCCACTGCTACGCCCCCCCCGTGCAATTGCTGCGCCAACTACACATAGAGCCCTTCGCCTGCTATGTGTGGCGATGCCTCCACTAGCAGAGTTAGCCGGCAATACCGCACTTGTCAGGGTTGGCTTCTTTCCTATATGGTGCTCCAGATAGTATTAAGCAGGTGGTCACATCCGCGTTGTCCGATTGCGCACATCCCGACATGTCGCACAATGGTGAGACAAACAATCTGCGTAAGCCATGAGACAAACAGACTCATGTTTCGCAATCGCCTTCGTGTGCTCAATTCCAAATCAAATACCCTGCCAACAGGAAAATATGAACCACTTGGACGCAATGGGCAAGCAAAAAAAATAAATTCAAATGCAATGTGAATCAGTCGCCTCAGGGGGTTTCCGAGGGTTTAACTTGAATTCAAAGCCACCTTCAAGCGACAATGCTATTCCCCAGCAATTAAGTCCAAATCTAAACTCATTATTGGATTTAAATTTCAGCAATATTATTGACACCATGTGCATGATGGTACCACCCCCAAGCCTTTTCGGGTCATGGATCCACCTCATTCCCCCCTCTCCAGAGGTATCCTTTTTGCTGAAATAGATCGCCTTGGCAAACGGAATAAACACCATCTAAACCCGTACCATCTACTTCCAACTACATCCAAACCATTCAAAAGGACACCTCTGCCCCTCCCTCCCTCCTCCCTCCTCCCCGGTCCCCGGTCCGCCCCCGCCCCCTTCCTCCCCCTGTGTGGCCCTTGGCTCGCCCCCGCGCCTGGCGCTCGGAGCGCATCTCCGGGGCCTCCTCCGCCCGCGCGAGGTCCGCCTCGCAGGCCGCCGCCGAGATGCGCTCCGCCAAGCGCCGGCGCCGCGCGGCCGCGGCCTCGGCCTCGAGCTGCTGAAGCTCCTAGCGTCGAAGGCCCCTACTGTCGACCTATGATTCAAATCAACTCCCCAGTTTTTGCTATTTGGGGAGGGAAGTTGTTGTTGTTGTTGCTTTTTTTGGGGGGGGGAGGAGTTTATGAATCAGAGGTAGACATTGGCTCGAGGTGAGGTGCGCAAGGTGCGGAGAGCCCAGCTGATATCCCTCACAGAAAGGGGACCCGTTTCCGCCGTGCGGGTCGGGTCCCGAACCTTCAGAAATGGAACGCGAGTGCATTGAATCTCTTAGGAAGCTTGCGAGCTCCTGATGGAGCCGCTTCATCTCCGGATCTTCCAACTTCGCCACAGCCAAGGCCACCGAGGTCGGGCCGCCGGGGCCGCCGCAGCCGCCACTCGGGCAGCCCAAGGCTGCCTCGCCCCAGGACAGCAGGGCCTGGAAGTCCGACTCCCAAGAAACTGCCGAAACGCGCGGGGGAAACTCGGGAAAACACGACGGAAAGGCAGCTTCACCCAGATCCACCGCCTTCACTCTCGAAAAGTCGGAAGCAACTGAAGTATCAATGTGAGCTTCAACCCCTACGCTCCGTGCCGTGGCTTGTCTGAAGCCAGCGCGTCGCACCTCCGTGGCTTTGGTCACATCTTCCTCCATGCGCCATGACTCACCGCCGAAAGAAAGGCGTGGCTGGAGCCATGAGACGCGGCTCGGCTCCTTCAGTCTGCTTGCGACTTGTTCGTACCTACAGACTCAGAGCAGCAAGTCAAGCTATGTCCGGTGGTTCCACAAAGTCTCGATGGGTCTAATGCGCTCATGCCCCTGGTGCTCGCAGAGCACTTTCATGCTCAGGCTTAGCAAAGGTATCACAAGAGATTCTCCATCTATCGAATCGCTCAAAACATGTGCCAGTCCGCCACTTTTCCTTTCTGGATGGATGCCCTTGCAAAGGGATTCACGCAATGGCTTGCTGGCAGAAGCATTTGGCTCCCAAGAACAAATCTGCCACAAGCCACGTCTCCGCTCTCTGCATCCTAAGCTCAGGGAGCTCAAACTCCACATCTCGGCTCCGCAGCCGTTTCGCACTCAGCTTGACTTCAACTCGGCCTTGACAGCAGTTGAGAAGTGGGCTCAAAAGAAAACAGGGTTCAAAATGAACAAACTATTGCAACCCCAACCTCAGAATCTGGACATTCAAAGAAGAAGGGAGGGAGGTCCTCTCTGGTCATAGACTCACAATGTCAGCTCTACAAGCAACGCAAGATTTGTGTGCGAGCACAAAATATGACTATGTGACACAGCTAGCAGCCGTTGGCCAACTACATGTATTCAGGCAGCAGCGCAAGCATCCTTACAACTTGCTCTTTAGGACGTTTGCCCAAAAAGCAAATCATCTATGCCATAGATTACCTTGTCACCTGAGAGACTTCAGATTGGAACTCCAACTGTGCGCCGGCAGTGAAGATATTCTTATCACTTCGTATGTCTTTGCCAAAGCAAATTGTATCCCTCATAACAAACAAACACGCAATCGCAGCAAGCAAACGCACGTCAGCACGTTGTCTGAGAAGCTGGCATCTGCCTACTCTTTGCCAGCCCACATGACAGCTGCCTTGCGCAAAGTCATATTCAAAGCTTGGACATAAACTGGTGAAACCGACACATGCATCATGACACGCTGGTGCCACACCTCTGACACAAGCGGCATTGTCATCTGGCGCTTCAGGAGGGCGTTGCAGCCTTTCATCGCCGGCAACGGTCAGCCATGCAAACACAAGGGACATGTGGTCCATTCCCAAAAGCCCAGCGCTGCCTTTCGCTGCACGCGATGAATGATTTTGCTGCAACCGTTGGCTGACAGTCCCGAAACCATCAGGCACTGCCACTTCAGCTCTGGATTTGGCTGTCGCAAGGGAAGGACCGTCTCATACTGAGGTCGTTACAGCACCAAAGCAGCAAGGCAAAGATGAACAAACAAATCGAGACCATGCTGTGGTACCTGCCACGGATACGGCTTACTTCACATCTTTGCCTCTCCCAAATGTGCTGCTTCCGCATATCCACAAGCTGGCGCACATGATGGTCTGCACCACAAGTCCCGACTCCCAGGGGTTCAACACGGCAAAGAACACCTGGCCATGCAGCAAATGACAATGGCCACCTGCGCCCCGTTTCACCTCTGGCATCTGTGGAACCTTGTTCCTGCCTGCTGAGGCACCCCAAGGAGCATAGAGATCAAGATGGCCTCACGCGAGCAAGGCAAGACGAAGCCAAGCCCCGCGGCACGTGGCCTGTGACGAGTGGAAGCGCACGTAGAAGGGCGCCGCCTGGCACGAGCTCTCGTCGATTGGGAAAGAGAGGGAGTGGAGGTTTGCCTTGTTTCTCACGGCCGTCTGAATGAAGATGAACCAGACAATGAGGAAGTAGTAGCCGGACCTCGAGGGAGCACTGCTGGCGTAGTCATGCCAGTTGCCCAAGGTTTGATCTCAGGCTCCACCTGCCCAGCGTGCAAAAGTCTGTTGCTGCCAAGCGGCTTCAAGTAGGCCCCATACAAATATCGCCTAGCCCGGTCGCCAATGGCTGACCACAAAAGATGCTGCATGCAGGTGCCATGCTCTGAGGTAGTCGCATTTTCAAGGTGTTCTGAAAGAAGTTCACCAGGGGCTCAGTCGGCGGCACCCCAACGGCATACCTCAAAATGACTCGTCGCGCCCACAGAAGGCGCCAGCCAACCCCGAGTGGGCCCCCTGCGGGTAGAGCGAAATAGAGATCTCCCCGAAGTCCAGGGCCTTGACTCGAGCGCGTCTTTCTTGCTCTGGCAGCCCTTTTCACCGTTCTTTTGAGGAGAACCAAACGAAAAGCACACGTTTAGACCATCCATGCCTTGACGCGTCTCTGTCGAACAACGGGGAGAGCGGCGAAAGCTGTGGCCATGCGGCCATGCTGAGGCAACAGCATTGAGGAAAGGCAACAAGTACCTTGTGCTCTGGGCTCTGCGCGGCTGACAAGACTCGATGCAGAGACACCGTTCCAAGGCACAAAGGTGCTACTGACACAGAGACTCTGTGGCGGAGGCGCACCCGACGCAGGCTCCTACTCGCAGGAGCCACATCTTGTCCAGGATGCCTGGCGCTGAATGCAACGTGAACTACAGGGAAACAAACAAGCGAACGAGTGCTGCAAGCCTATCTTAATCTGGACTGGTCTCACACCCTGATTACTCAAAATGGCATGCAGGAAGAAGATCATGCTCCCGTGTCTCTGGCTAGTCGGGCAGCCGAGCCTTCCACAAGCAATATATTGTTGAAGGAGCTAAGGCCAAAAGCATGTTTTTCTTGCAGGTGGGTTTCGAAGAATCCCCGCAGAATAACTGCCCACCCGGGCCAAAGCACAGAATGCGAAGCAGAGACACCTTTAAGATTTCATGACGGCACCATCTGCACATGGGACTCCATGGTTCTGTCATGTGGCAGGCCAAGGCCCCGGCCACCCAAAATCCGCATGGGCAGCGGCGAGAGGCGCTTCCTGGCGCGCAAAAAGAAACTGCAACCCAGCAACCGGCAAGAAGCATGAAGCTTGAGGTACCTTTGTGGCCGCAGCTGGCAAAGACTCTTAGCTTGCTCGCTGATCAACTGCTGTGTTGTGCTATGTGTGTGTTGTGTGTGTTGTGCTGTGTGTGCGTATCTTGACATGGTCGCAGACGCAGACAAAAGCCCAAGACGTGCGTAGTTTTTTGCAACTTATGCACCATTGACTGAGGGCATCATTTTTTCTGCACGATGCAAACTGTCGTGCTGTTTTTGGCCTGAAATGGTTGCATCGCAACTGAATCGTTGCTTTTGTTTGCACCCTGGCTGTTCATGTGCATGTTTGATCCTCCGGGTTTGCTCGTGGTGCGACTGAGTCCTGATCCAACTGTTTTTTCTTGTGTCAACTCTGGCCAAATGCGTGTCCCGACACGCCTCATTCTCTCTTTCTTCTTCTCCAGGGGAGTCGCGTCGACAGGCGTCGACATCAGGAACAGAGCATCCTGTGAAGCTCAAAGCACATGAGCACGTCTCAACAGCAAAGACGTCTCACCGGCCAAGAACTTCCGTCCCCTTTGGCATTCGATATATTCCGCATTTGTAAGCAATCCGTGGCCAACCATCCAACATGTTTGGCGAGGGCACCACCATCAATCTGTCAAACGTCCTCGCCCATCTGCTGCATCTCTTTCATCTCCTGCTGCTGCTCCCACTCCTTCATGGACTTGATAAACTCCTGAGAGAAAGAGACCGCGGCAGGCAAGGCACTGATCCCCGGAAAAGAGCAAAGAGCTGAGGAAGGCATTGTACCAATGACTCCAGCTAGCCCCTTTGATACCCAAAGGGTTCCTCAACTTAAACAAGAGCAAACCTGACGTGGGCTAGCAAATTGCCACAACAAAGCTTCTTGTAAACATCCTCCGGAGGTCGCTAGAGGTCAAAGCTACCTGTCCATGGTCCATCTTGGATATCTTTGCACGCGGATGCGTGTTGCCTGGCTCGCTGTTGTGTGGCCCTGGAACTCAGGTCCTTCAGTGCAAAAACCACAAAGACGCTGGAGATCAAGGCGATGATCCCAGACCTTAGCGGCTGATTCGCCCAAAGACGTGAGCCTTGAACTAACAAGTGGGGTCCCGTGTTTTTTGAGGGCACCCTTTTAGGTTGGTTGCAAGGGAAACTAATGGAAAGCTGACCACTTTGGGGTCCCGCTATTTAGGACACGTACCCAAATGCATGCACCAAGGCTGTGGCTGTACCCATGGTCGGATGGAGTTTTTGTAGGTGTGGGCTACTGCCATATCCTGGGGCGCTAAAACGCACATTATGCAGGCTCCAATAGACAACACCCAAGCGCTGTCTCTCAAGGCCAGATCCTGAAATTGCCAATGTATCATCGCTTGCACAAACCGGATAACGAGTGAAGGCTTGATGTCTTTGCTCTTCCCAGCCTGGAACAACTCATCTCGCAGTGCGAAGCCATCCTTTGCGGACACCTTGGAAGGAATGTGCGTCTGTCCGTGCAAAATACGATGTTTAAAAAAAGGAGAACAAAACAGTGTTGAGCTCTTTATGAGTGCCCCACATCATGCAGTGTAACAGGATCTTGTAGGGACTGAGCAGATTAGCTTCGCCCCCTTGGGCCCCTTTTTCTGGTCTGGCGCTCAGCGCTGGGTTCAGGCAGCAATAACTAATAAGATATTGGACAAAACCATGCCGCACTGAGATCCCGCACCCATTGTCGCACCTAGCTGGTTGACAACTCCAGAATGAGTCACCATATGGCTCAGTGCTTGCCGCCTTCGCTTCCAAATGGTGGACCCCAAAATGTGTGATGTCCTTTTAGTTTCCCTTGAACATGACCCAAAACTGGTGCCCTCAACAACGCGCGCCCACACACACACACACCCTGCCATGCTGCCACGCAAGAAAATCCCGAGCCGGAGTCACTGCTGACCGAATGGTGCAGTAGATGGCTGTGCCAAAAGCTACCTCCGCGAAGGGAGACCTGAGCACACTTCGGATCTTGTGGGTGTAGGAAGTTGCTTGCAGTCAAGAATGCTGCAGATGTGGATGCCATGGACTTGAGGAGTCCATTCAGATTCTCAAAATGGCCATGGGTCAAAATCCAAACCGGTTGGCCCCCAGTGAAGATCCCAATCCCCACTAAAACAGACTAAAATGGGTGGTGCACCTATCCCAAAATGCTACCACTGGTTTTGAACCATGGCCAAATCTCTGCCACGCAAAACCCCGATGAACACAAGCCACACATTTCAGCAGTTTGGCCTTGGCAAACCTGAAATGAAGGCACGGAGAAAGTCGTGGCAATTGGTCAAATCTGAGAAATGGTTGGATCCTAGCAAATGATGGGACTGACACAACCCGTCCAATAGGGATAAACCATACGAAAATTCCCAGGCATTCATCTGCCGATCCAACAGCCTCCCGCAAGGAAAATGAACATCAGCCCACCATGCAAACTCACCGAAATCTGGCCCAAAAGCTGGTTGTTGTCATTTTTTGAGGGTGCCCTTTTGCTTGTGGTTTCAGAGGAAAACCCAAAGAACAACTCGCATTTTGGGAGACTGTGGCTTTCACTTGGCGTGCAGGGCTGATCGCCGTCCAGGGCTTCGGGCTGCGCCTTCCGTGCCCAAAGGCGGTGCCCGAAGATCCGGGCGGCGGCGCAGGAGAGGGCCTGAGATTAAGCTGCGAGCGATGCGGGGAATGAGAAATGGAATGACCTGGTCTCTAACCCCCATGCTTTTGTGGATTACGTTCTTGTTCTCTCCATCCATGCCTTGAATCCCTTGGCTTTGAGGGGGCCAAACCTGGGTTTATTCCCACATTCCCTACTTATCGCACCAAGGAAGGCTGCAAGATTCAATCTTGCCCCCGCCCCGATCTCGGGAATACCACATTTGTTTGCTTGTTCTCCAAAAACAACCTGGTGAAGCCCGGTGGTGCTATGACAGCATGTGGCCAGACGTTTCAATCGGCGGGAGGCCTTCTTGCAATCGCCATGTGTTTGATATGGTTGCTTACATCTCTTTGACTCACGTCATAATTAGTTGATCACTGTTCGATTAACCCCAACAAGCTTTCATGGTTTCTTGCGTCCATGATGGTCTTTGTCCGGAATACCACGTTGCTCCCTTGAATTCTGCACAATTCAAGCGCTCAAGCATGGAATATTTTGCTTACATTGGATCTTACCTTGAAGGATAATAAATCGCTCACAACATGATCCTCGCCAAGGGATGCCAATTGTATGGATGTGTGCACGCTCTATGCAAGAAAGCTGAACAACAATGGCATGTGGGCCTTCTTCAGGAACATGCGAAGGCAAAACAGCGAACATGCATGATCTGGCCCCCAAAGAGGAGTCTAATCAACATGCAATAAAACACCCAATGAACGTTGTCCGCATGTAAGTTTATGTTGCGTGATATCTGTAAGCTGTTAGAGATGGCCACATATGGGATCACTGAAAGCTTGCCCGCCCGAAATTCTCGTGCACGGGAAAGTCATAGCCTAGTTCGGCTTTCGACACCGGAGCTCGGATCACTCAGATCAGCTGAATGCAAAGTGCTAGGCTAAGAAATCTGAAGCCTGATCCTGAGGCACCGGGCAGCGCCAAGGGCAGCAAAGCGCCCTGCAAGAGTTACCCAAGCCCAAGCCACCCAAGCCACAAGCCCGCTAAACCTCAAGTAACCTACTCACCCTCGGCATGCCCAATGCAGCCTCTGGCGCGTTCACTGGACCCCACCCTCGGGGCCTTCAGGAGCTTCAGCGGCCTGCAACGAATGCTCTCACCGCGCAGCGCTGGTGGCATGCAGGCGTGGCCCTGCAAGCTCTCGCCGAGCAATACCAATGGATGGATCCTTATGCATCCTTCAGATAGCAAGTTGCATTCATTTTGAAAGGCTCAGTTGCCGCTCTGCGCTTTTTGAGGACTTGCTCTGATCACGGTTCAGCGAGGCTATCGCCAGCTCCGCAGAAAGGAGAAAGGATCAGAAGGCCGCCAGGAAGGCATTCTAATTGCATGAAACGTGCTTAGATGCCTCATGAACAAGATGTGGCTAGACAGTGAACTTCTGTACAACGGGCAGTTGGCATCCCGTTCCCAATCTTACAATCGCCAGATTGGAGAAACGGTCAGTCAAGAATGGCATTTCACTAGCTGTCCAGTCCGAAGCTTTGCAGTGCACTCCTTCTTTGAAGACTTGACTCTGACCTTTCTTGCCTCCTCTCTCTCGATTCTCTCCTCATAACTTTGATACTCTCCACCTTGGAGCTGGTGCCTGCGCCATTTATCAAACGCAGCAAGTTTGGGATCCATGTCTTCGAAATCCTTCCACCAGCATTCGCGCTGATTCAACCAGCATTCGCGCTGATCCAAACAGGCAGCTTTATCAAGCTCAGCAAGCAGGGCAGCTTTATCAAGCTCAGCAAGCAAGGCAGCTTTGTCAAGCTCAGCAAGCAAGCGGCACCAGGTCCCTTTTGACCATTTTGACCCTTTTGACCCTTTTAATCAGGCAGCTTCAGCCAGCTCAGCAAGATGGACGTGGGCGAAACTCACTGTCTTCGCCCGGTCGCCATAGGATTCCACGTGTCCAGCCCTCAGGTCACGACATAATTTCCCTCGAACGTACCTTCGGAAAAAGACCAATGCAGTCTCTGCTTTTGCGCAGGTGTGTAATTCCATGTGGGGCCTGAAATTGTTGCCGATAATCAGCGTCAACGGCACCTTCATGAATGCATTCTTTGCTTGGCGACTGAGCTTACGATAGACTCGGCAAAGTTCCATTTCGCCGTCTGCCGCCAAACCTTCGAACATCCACTGCTCATGTTTGAGGCCTTTACGGATGTCATTCTGAAGTCGGAATAAGATGCACGCAAAGTTGCGTGTCATTTCACCACAAAACGTGTGTAGGTCCCAGGTCGCTGACACGAAACCTGTGAAAGGTGACAGCTTGAAGGTCACCTCATCATGTCTGAAATGAGGTCCATACTCCGCAATCACGGATTCCCCGTCTACAGCACGAAGATCAGATTGGTGGAGAGGGCGCGCAGCGCCTGAACATCATCGGCGGCCGCAGAGGCACTGGGATCCTGAGGCACAGAGCTGAGCTGTCTCAGTTTAAACCGACAGCGATACGCAGACGTGCTGAAGGCCCGATGATAGCCGGTGCGAATGTCATGTCCAGTGCTTCGGGTCAACCTCGATATGTCACTTCCAAGGTCCACCTCTCGCTCCGCTCGAGCGGGACTTCCAGCCCATTGAAAATTTGATCGGCTCGCAGGGTCTCCGGGGACGACTATTGCCTTCAAGGCATGACTCCACCAAATATGAAAGTACTGGGGAGAACACAATCATTCCTTTCTTGAGTTGGTGGAACTGCGACTGCAACTCTTCTCTGTGCCAAAGAAGGCCTTCCATGTCGTCCTTGCAGAGTAGCAGAATGGCACCGCCGGCAAAGCGAGGTCTCACAGTGTTGCTGGCACTCAGGCTCATGATGCGGACGTGCTTGTGGTTGTCAGATAAGGCCCATTCCATCTGAGCCCTCTCCTCAAGCGCTTGCTTGGCTTCGCGTAAGGCCTTCTCAGCCACAGGCTGAGCTTTTCGCTCCTCCCTCTCCATCTGCGAGATCGGGTAGCCAACGTGGGCGATGTCTTCACCAGGGCATCCAGCTGCGTCCGGTAGTCCCCTTCACTTCCAGCACGCACACACACACAAGCGAATCATGTAAGACATCTGGGCCCAGGCTCATCATTGGGAAACACGATTCATGGGAACTGAAACACCCTTGGGCCGAGACAAGTCTATACCTCTGCGAATGCTAACAGAAGTGGCACTGCCAGCAGCCATGCAGCCATGGCCTCCTGGTGAGCTGTTCGCCTGGCAATTCAACTCGCAAAATAATGTCATCTCGACGACTGGTGTGATTTCCATGGTTGCATTTCTCACAGATGTCTGTGCAACAAAACCAGGCAGTTCAGCCCAAGTCTGCTTCTACCCGGCATGGCGGAGTTGACAAACGGCCTGCACACATGCCAGAATCACAAGCTGCATGCCATGCAGCGGTGCTTGTGTTCTGATACAAGGTGCGGCAGTGACAAAAGTGCGCAACGAAACTTGAGACCAAACATCGCCTCTCCAGCTGCAAAGCCTCGGCCAGCATCCAGCTCATGTCGCAGCTCATAAGATGGCTGAAGCCCGCTCGTCAAAGAATGGGCCAGTCTTCTTGTGTCCAAAGTGTCAGAAGCCAGCCACAAAAGAACATGCAGATTTCACAGAACAAAAGAACACTCGCGACTGTGATGCAAAACCGCGAGTTGCTGCGGCGCCAGCTCCAAGCCGTGGTGCCGCAAAGCTCCATCTGCCTGAGAGCTGCGAGGGACTTGAGCTTTGGGATGCAGAAGGCCCTGAAGGTTGAAACAAAGCAGCATGCGAACTCAAAGACTTCGCGAGCCAGCATCTATATCAAACGAGCCACAGCCGTGAGTGCACCTTTGTGAAAGAATCGCAAAGGCATGCAACCCTGGGACTCCGCACAGGGCACCAGAAGCGTCCAGACGGCTACAGCCAGCACGGCTAATCTCCTTAGCACCCACAGTGGTCGTTTCAAATGAAACGCCTTTTGACTGGGAATAAAAACTCACCAAGTCCTTGGCGTAGGGTGCAACAGTGCAAAACGTATATATCCCAAGTTACATGCTGCAACATCCTTTGTTTGGCACATGGTTGACAAGTGAATCGGAATGACCGCTGCTGCTGCTGCTGCTGCTGCTGCTGCTGCTGCCGCTGCTGCTGCCGCCGCCTGCTGGGCAAAGCCTTGACTTGAATGTCAGCACCTGTCTGAACCTTCGCACTCTTTTGCTGCAAGGCACACAATGCGAGTGAGACAGAACCGATATGCCAAAGCTGCGCATGGCTCAGGCATCCTGAAGCTCGTTGAGCATACGCACGGACTTGCGGAAGAGCTCCTCGTCACGCTCCTTGACCCTTCGGTGATTCGACTTCTGACTGGCCTTTGACTCGCTTGACTTCTGACTCGACTCCTGACTCTTCTGGCTGTTCTGCATGTCGAACTCTGCTGATCGCTGCCTCTGCACCTCCGAGTCTGGCTTCTCCGCCGAACGGGTGTGAGCTAACTCCACTGCAGACTGACCTTGGGCGACTGTCCTGCGGCAGCACGCATCTTGGATCAACTCCAAGCACGACTCCTTTTCCTAAATCCGGTGCGACAGGGGGGGATCACACTTTCTTCACACAAGCTAGGGTAGCGTGGCAGAAGGCTCAACCGCTTCCATAACCAAGTGGTGCGACGAGCGAGCCAGCAGCTCCTTGCAAGCAGAGACGCCAGCTGCTCGGGATCCATGCTAGTGTTGTCACCCACCTGGACACCGATCCCCCTGAGAAAGAAATTCCAAGCGACAGAAGCCAGGAGTAACACCCTCAGCCGAGCTGCTGCTGTTTGGAGCATCTTCTGCGTGCTAGGCAGACCAGAGGCAACCTGCTCCGCTGCCGCCAATTCTTGCGCCGCCCGCGCCAACTCCTTGGGCCATGACGGAGAAGTTCCGATTCGTGCACAGCCCACATGCGAGAGGGCACTTGCGATCCAAGAGTCATCCTCGGCAGGTAGCTTCTCCTTCGAGGAACCAGGAAACAAAACCATACACAATGCGACTGGACACGCCCTTCCCACATCAAAGCACCCATGTGTGTAGTGTTCATGTGGTATACCACATTAAGGTGGAATCGCAAGAATGAGAGAGAGAGAGAGAGAGAGAGAGAGATGTCAAACTACATGCTTCACTTCCTGCATATGTGTTGCATGTATGTTCACTACCGCAGGCCTTGAGCTTACTACTCCGCATGAGTGAAAAGGTTGGCAGCTGCAGACTGCATTGGTTGACTGTTTGTTTGAACACTGCAGCACTTGCACTTGTAAGCAAAAGTACCAACTAAATTTAACGTGGTAGCGGAGCTGAGATCCTAAACATAGGGGAGCTCCAGTAAGCAGTAAGTACTACAACCACAGCAACAGCAGTCACATGCCAAACTACTACGACATGTCAGGAGAAGCAACATCAGCCTCAGCACAACAAACTACAGGAGCAGAGAACGGGCCAACAGCAGACACAGTAGGAGCCACAACTACGGGAGCAGGAACAGAACAAGACAACGACGTTCAGAGACTACATAGATACAAACTGCCACCACCCTTCTTCACTGGTGACTACTCCCAGTATGAAGAATGGCTGTTCAAGCTACAAGCATACCTCGGCCTCATAGACCGAGACTTCGACCTGGTGCTACAACTAGCACAAGTGGCTACACGACAGATTGAGGACACAGAGATCAGAACACACATACTCGACCCTACACAAGCAAGCAAAGCAGTAGACCTCTCCAGAGATCTACACTACATCCTCATCAACATCTGTCAGGGGGGCAGCAGCTACAGCAGTAAGGCAAAACCGCTACAACGCAAATGGATGTGAAACACTACAACTACTACACAACAGGTTCAGCCTACCAGTAGGAACAAGAAGCGTTGGCTACCTTACCAAACTACTGGAACCTACATTCAACGAAGCGCAGTTTGAAGAACAATTTCTACAATGGGAATACGACATCAACCGCTACGAGAAAGACAATGGAACAGCACTACCAGATGGAATCAAAATAGCAATACTACTCAACAAAACCAAAGGAGCACTGCAGCAACACCTCCAACTGCGAGCTGGACAGATCACGAACTACATCGAGATCAGAGCACTCATCTTGGACTACTACAAGACGATTTCAGCCTTCACTAGATCTACTTCAGCAGTAGGAACAAGCTACAACGGAGGAGCTGCACCAATGGATGTTGACAACATATGGAGGAAAGAAAGAAACTACAAAGGCAAAGGAAAAGGAAAAGGCAACTACAAAGGAAGCAAAAGCAAAGGCAAATATAGGAGTAAAGGACACTACAAAGGATTCGACAAAGGCAGCAAAGGAAACTACAACAAAGGAGGATACAACAAGAGCAAAGGAAAGGCTACTCAGGATCCAAAGGATATGGATCAAGCAAAGGCTACAAAGGCCAATGAAACTACAGCAAATCAAAAGGAAAAGGAAACAACAACTACACAACATGCCATCGATGTGGCAAGCCTGGCCACTGGGCACAAGACTGCAGAGTGCCAGTATGGCACACAGGAGAAGGAGAAGAAATACATCCACTAGAACAAGAACAAGCAGATCATGACAACAATGAAGAACTACCTCAGGATGTGAACGACACTTGGGACTGGTGCTACGAAGGAGAAGATGGACAACACGAGGTGAACTACATGGAGGAGAACTGGAACGACTACGACTATGACAACAGCTGGGGTTGGAATGACAACAGCTATGAGGACACAGCAAACTACATTGGAAGCATCAACGAGTCACACCTTACCATTGGACACATCAGACAAGCAAACTCACGACTACACAAGCACAAATCCAAATCACTACTTGGCAAGAGAACAACACACACAACATCATGGAACGACCACAGCAAGAGCTTTCAACAATTCCTACAAGAAGACACCACGCAGCTACACTTCGACATAGCAGCAGCAAGAAAACAACAACAAAGGAACAAGAAGATTGAGGACACTATCACACACTACATCATGTACTCCAACTTCAAGTCATACCACCACCTGTTGATCGACTCAGGAGCATCTACACATGTCCGAAGGACTACGCACCAGACCTGCCGCTACGACCTTGTGGAGAATCAGTTCCACAACTCTACACGGTCACAATCAAGAAGATTCCTGTCTACGGCATCAAGTACGTTCCCTCAAAGCAGGACAACTTCAGGATCATGTTACCCTACTACGTTTGTGATGTGAAGTATCCAATCCTCAGTGCATCAAGACTACTTGATAGAGGATATGGACTTGACTTCACTCCACGACATTGCACCATCACACATGGACAACAACAAGCACACCTCATAAGACACTCAGGACTTTTCTACCTACGAGCAGAGAAGATCGACACCCCTACAGGATTATGACATCTACCCAATGACTACAGACAATGGAAAATCAATTGCTGTGATTCAACCTACAGAGAAAGCAGTACAACAACAAGAATAAATTGCACCACTCACCCACACAGACCAAGGACTACGACAGATCCTTGGTGGAAACACTGACTACTGGAAACTTGATGGTGACTACGCCATCAGAGTACACAAACGACCACGCAAAGCACTGTTCACACCACGCAACAGCGGTTGCCCAATACCTGAAGGAGAACTAGATGATTGGCGACTAACCATCATCAACAGACAAGGGCAAGAGCAAGAACAATTACAAGAGAACCCAACACAACTTTCCAAGCAAGAACTACAACGAAGACTAGAAGGTGACAACTGGACTGGAGAAACCAGATTCAGAAGAAAGATAACACCTACACGCAGAGCAACATCAAAGACCACACCAACAAGGCAGAGCTCACAACCACAACGGCTAATGGACACACCACCAACCAGATCAAAGATCCAACTACGAGCACCACAAAAGATATGGAGACCTAAAGCAGCATCTTCTACAAATCTTGACACACAACCAAAGGAGACAATCCACAGACCACTCACAGCACAGGAGGACAACCAAGACTACTTACTGGGAAAGACAAGGTGAATACTGGATAAGACACCACACAACACTTAGAACAACTCTATTCACTCCAACAGATGGACCAGGACATCCACCAATCAGCACACTTGAGCCTCACAGAACTACAATCACTCACAACAACTTTGGAGAAGTTTCACAACGCAAAGATGACTGGACAGTCATGGGCAACGCAGCACAACCATTTCAATGGAAAGGAACAACAAGGTTCACCATGAAGAAAGACTACGAGTACATCCAGAAGAACCACGATGAGGAACAACAACACGAGCATCATGAAGCACACAGAGCAAGAGGGCTACGACAACCACAGCAGCCCACTCCACAACAAATAGCAGAACACAATCTTACACACCTACCACACAGAAACTGGTGTCCAATTTGCGTTCAAGGCAAAGGATGCCAAGACAACTACAAGAAACAACAATCACGACAACCCGTCATTCAAGTAGACTTCGCCTACATCAAATCACAACAAGACCCAAAGACCATACCAGTACTGACAGCAGTTGATGTTACTACACAACTGTGTATGGCAGTAATGGTCCCGGACAAACCATCAATGATGGACTACATGGTCAACAACCTACAAGCATTCATCTTTGAGCGCGGAACAACACAAGGCATACTACAAAGCGACAACGAAGACACACTCAACGCGCTTCTAAAAGCTACAGCAGCAAAAGTCGGCTCAGAACACTCCTCGGACAAATCCGCGTTGTCAAAGCTCAGGTTGAAAGCAACTGCAGCTCTACTACCTTGGATAGTACGACATGCAGCATGGACGGTAAATCGCTACGGCATCCACTCAGACGGCTACACAAGCTTTAAACGCCGCTGGGGAAGAAACTACGAGCGAGCAATCTGCGAATTTGGCGAGACACTACTTTACCTTCCACCACAACACAAGAAACTTCCAAAAGCAGACCTACGGATGCAGAAATGCATCTGGCTCGGAAAAGTTTCCGAAACCGGAGAAAACTACGTCGCAACGGAATCAGGCGTACAAAAGGTACGAACAGTACGGAGACTACAACCGGACTTCAAATACGACCTCGCACTGCTGAACAAAGTTTCCGACGGAACACCTACCCGCTGCTGGGACGAACTGTCCAGTTTGCCAGGGAGACGTCCGTGGGGCAGAGGATCTGCTCCCGGCCACCACCTCGTCGGCCCCTCCGTCGTCCGGGAAGCGCACGGCTATCTCCAGGGCCGAGGCTGCCTCCGTGACTCCCAGCTTGCCGGCCAGGAGGCCGTCTATTTGCAGAACGGTGTAGTAGCTGAGCAGGGAGGCGGCGATGCTCGAGGCCGTTGCCGTGTCCTGGTCGGCGGCCGAGCGGTACGCCACCAGCGCCGAGGTGATCTGGTTGGTCGTGAAGACGTCCAACCCATCGTTCGCAACACTGTTGGATACGCAACTACAACCGTCAGAGAAAAGAAGGTCCACGCAAGATTTCGGACAACAGACGAACGCTACGGACGACATCGTTGCGGAACCCGCGACAAACAACAACGCACTACACCACCTCCACGACTTCCGTCTACATCGACGTCAAGTTCACGACCACTACCGGATAGTCCTATGGCTACTTCACCAACCGGACGACAACATCCACCACTACCAGCACAACCTCGACAAACACTACGACGTTTAACTCCGGAAGAAGTAACGCAACCAACTAAAGCACAGAAGACCTCAAAGGACACTACAATCAGATCAACGGAGCAAGCAACCAAAGAACCACCACCACTACGACAGAAAATCAACGCAGTGACACTTCCCAACGGAAAATCCATCACCCCCTACACAAACGACGACACCTCAGAAGACCAACCCATAATCTTCGACAACGAGGGTTACGACGAAACACAACTACTGCAAGAAATGAAACACGAGTCAAACCGAATGAAGCTACATGACGTCTACGACGAAGTAGATGCGTCTACCGTCAACGAC